TGTTAAGGGTTGTGAAATGTGCCCCAAAGATTAGCGGAGTTGGTAAGTAAGTATTTTGTTGTCTTTTATATTATATTGAGCCTATAGTTGTGTATGTCGAGTTGAGACATATTTTATATAATCGTTGTAATTATAATATTATATTTGTTTTGAGAAAACATTGTGTTTCCTTCCGCCCTTTTACAGAGACGTGTCAGGTTTCAAGAGTAGAACCCTTATACAGTTAAGGGCTACGAAGCCAAGTTTAAGGCTAAATAGTGTTAATGTGATTGAGTCCCAAATTCATATATTTTGTTATGTAACCCCCGGGACATAGATAGTCCCACAATTATTTAAAACACGTGAATCGTGACTTTTCTTTATAAAAACACGTATAACGTGACATAAAGCATAATATTCCATCCCAAACAAAATAATATATAAAATTATATAAAACGTACATGTGTTATTCAAAGTTGATTTTGAGATTATGTCGAAACTTGACATTTCAATTAAGAAATCTTTGTACAAAATATACATTTTCAACAATATATCGGTACTAAAGCCTACCTTATAAAATCAGGCGAAATATACGATAGATAAAATTTATTTAGTACATCGGATGACTTAGATAATTTAAATTTAAATCAACTTATTCGTTGACAGATACAAATCGAAATGAAATACCAACTCTTGACGCAAGGCATAAACGACAAATGATATTTGAGTAGATATGTTTGTGCCAAAATAACGAAAACGGTTCCAACCGACCCCACTACCTCCGGGTAAAAAAATTTAAATTATAATTTGAATTTTTTTTATTTTTCTTTACTTCTTCCATATTCTCTCCTTTTATTGCAACTAGCTAGAATGATACAAGAGGTGAAACGATCAATGAATTACTTTTCAAGAGTGTTGCCCGCCGATAATAATAATAATAATACTCTCCCTAACTCACCCCCTTACGAGTGAATTTTAACCCCAAAAGCTGAGCTTGTCCGGGGAAAGGGACGGCGATATTCACAGTAATCAGAGGTCACTGCAAGAGAAGGTCCTTCAAAAACCATTCCACTCCCAATACAACTGTTAAACCAATTACTGTAGAAGAAAATTAAAAATTGCAAAAAAATAAATAAACAATGATTATATACCATCATACAATGAATAACACAAGATATCGTTGTAAAAAAAATGTTGACAAAGTAGAAATATGAAAATATATACTTCCTATCAGATTAGTATATAGAGGTAAGAAAATTAGTAAATTAGCATTATATAATATATAATATATTTCAAATTAAAGTTACATCATTAAACTGAAAAAATTGTACTGGCATAAACCATACATATATAAGATAAAGGTAAGGTAGAAAATAGTAAATATTAAGATTACTAAGTATTCACGTGTAACAAAAAAAAGAAAAACAAACTGAAATTTTTTGAGGTACATAAAATAAAGGGACTTTAGACATATATGTTTGTATTTAGTGATGCTCCCAAAAAAAAAAAAGGAAGTGGTTGTTGAACTTACAAACTAAGACCTATTATTAAAAAAATAAAAAAATATGAAGACAACTGAAATTTTGAGTGTTAATTCCATTTCAAATATCCATATTTATAACGCAATTCGGAATGTTTCCAAACGATGCCGTTCATGTGTTGCGAATAATGGACATCAATTTGAAAATTTAGTCTAGATAGTTTTATCTTTTTTATTGATGTTGTACCTAATTGGTAGAACAGCATCGTAAATATTATAATTCTTTGTCAATTATTTGTTAAAAGTTCCATAATGTGTGAGATTTTCTGTTAATTGTTTGAAAATAGATTTATTAGGTTTTCTTCTTAATGGGTAACGATTAAAATATAATTTACTTGCAACTTCAGAATTACTGAGATTCTTCCTATGGGGCCTCAGTACTGCATTCGTGCAGACGAAAAAATTTTCTGACCCCCATTTTTTAAAACTTTTTTCATGTTTCTGATCTGTGTCCGAAAATCCAAAAAAAAAAAAAATTTCCTCTGGTCGTCTGTATGTATGTATGCCAGCACAATAACTATAGAACGAAAGTTCTGATTGACTTGCGGTTTTGATTTTCTTGAATAATTACTTCTAACTTAGAACTCTATTGATTTTCAGAATTTTCGGTTCATCCTAACTACAATTTTCTTAAAATCCCCCTACGCATTCCTTATGTGACAGTTTTAGGAATTCCAAATTCCTAACATTCTTTACATTCCATCAATTGCAAACATTCTCTAACGACCTGTCAAACAACAGATGTTGATAGTAAAGGTGAAATTTCTAAGGCGGGTTGCCACCTTCATACTTGCAACCATATAGCCATTTTGGAGGCTATTTTCATTCGAAATTAGTCGCCAAGCCTGCCAATTTATGAAAAATATACAAGCAGTTTCTTTAAAATGACTTTTTTATGGTGGTGCTATTAAGAGTACTACTATTTCGCCCCTAGCCACAAAAACACCATCAAATTTACTGGTTCTCTGTCGCAACCCCATAGAATAAATAACCCGCCATTTTATTTGGCAAAAATCAAAATATTGCTTGGTTGTGCCTGTCAAGTATCAAGGCTCTTAAATGTCAAATTATTTAAAAATGTATACTTCTTTTGATATTTATTGCAAATAATAAATATCTCAATTCAGGCTTTCCATAAATAAAGGTACAGCAAGACAGATAATATAATGTTCTTATACAAAGCACTTTTTTATTATATAAAACAGAGGTAGGATATAATTCCCATTTCAAATTTGTATTAGTTATGATACCGAGGTATTTTGTTGTGTTTTTCATTTTAATTATAAAGTTGTTATTTATTTGTATGTTGAAAGAAGGCCTTTGTAAACTACATTGCTCTCTATGGATCTACTTTAACACAAAAATAGTTTTGTGGCTTTAAATTGCTATAACCTGTCTTCGCAAATAGATTAATAATTTAAACATACTAAGTAGTATTAATATAACATTAAGTAATTTTTTAAAATAAAGTACATGATCTCAAAACAAATAATCTATAATAAACGCGGATAAAACGAAGGGTAAAATAACAATAAATTAAGGGAAATAATTAAAAAGGGCAGGTTTAAAGAGTATTACCACAAGAAAGTATATCCGTTCTGTTTATTTATCAAATATTGTTTAAGGTTATTTTTGAATACATTTATTGATTTTTTTTTTAATTTCTGTAGGCAGTCTATTACATTTTTTAAACCTCTAATAAAAATTGTATTTTGGGAACTTTTAGTGATGGCTTTGAATTTTTTCTAATAGATCTGATGCGATGGTACTATTTCATTTTTATTTTATAAATAAATATCAGTCATGTACTAACATAATTCAGAACTGAAAGCCAATTTATTTCTTTTAACATAGTTGCAATACTCATCCTTCTATCTTTTATTAATAGAATATAAATAGGCGATGTAAGAAGCCCAAATATTTTACATGAGCAGGCTTAAGAGGTAAAGTTGTCAATTATTATTGGATAAATTGCTCGAACAAGTTTTTAAACCCTAATCAAAAGGCGATATAGAATGGTTTTAAAAATCAAGGCTTGTGAAAATCATCACATGGTTTAACCTAAGCAATGCCAATGCTTCACAAACCAAAAAATTCAACGTGCTAATACTACTATCGGCTTTCGGTATTTTGTTCCAAGTTAAATCATTTTTGTTACGCTACGAGTTTACCCTTGTGGGCCTCAGTCTCGATAAGGTAGGAACTACCATTTTAGCGTCTCTTTGGATTTGTTATTACTTTGAATAAAACATTCTTACAAATTAAATTATTTATTTATTTTCATAGACCATTTTGCTCTTTAAAAGTCACAAACAATCAAATGTTGTTGACATGGTGTAAGAATATAGGTGAAGTGGTGCGCAGTTTTTATGACGTCAACAACGGTATTGTCACAACCGCCTATAGACTGCCATGGCTTTGTTTACATTTTGTAATAAATGTCAAGATGTTACTCTTTTATTTCCTAGTTCTATAATCATTATAAAACTGAAAATATATATTTAAATGAAAATAACTGATAAATCACACATAAGTTATGCTCAATTATACAAGAAAATTACAAGAAAACTCACTACAGGCACATATTGGTCCCTTGTGCAGAAGAAATGCCAAATAAAAATATATTTTTTGTTCTTTTATATACAAAAACTAGTTAATTTATTTTCAATTTAGCGTAATAAATTTAAGTTACATCAGTTGGTATGCATTTCTCTTGAGGATTAACAAACTGAATTCTTCCACCACAAAACATAAAGAGTATATTACGTCTAGTATAGTTCTTGTAGCCAAACACTGCACAATCTGGCGTTTTGCTAGTAACTACACTCCCCAAAATAGTAGATTTTAATGTACCAATAACAAATATATTAATAAAATAATTAAAAACTATTTTTGTATCATTGAAATACAGCAAAAATGTGACATAACCTAACTTTATATCAATTACATTATCAATTTAATTAGTAATTAATTGAATAACACGTACCAATAATTACTAAATAGACCTCTTGGTATATAGAAATAATATTAAATTTTTAGATAAATGTATTTCTAAAGTTCTAAGCACTATCAGGAAGATATAACTTAAAAAGTCGCTTTTTAAGATTCAAGACATAGGCATAATACAAATTTGCTTCGAAGGTGACGTCATGCGCAAGACTGACCAAATTTCGTACCGCTAACTGCTTCACCTGTATTTTTCCAGATTGACATTATATATATCGTTGCAATTGGATTCTTATCAAAAAAGTGCCTGAAGAAGGTATACATTTTTTGCTTCCACTTTCAAAAATAAGCGATATAATGCCATATAATGAAAATTTGAAAAAACGAACTTTTGTTTATAAGTCGAAAACAAACGACAATAAAATTTGCCGACCCTGTACATTAAGATTAATTAATTCTTAGATTTAAACAATATTTCCAATTTGAACAGTGCGTTGCAAAATGTATAAATCATAAATGAATTTTTTTTTTGCAGATAAACCAAAATGACTCTAGTACAACCCAGTCCTGAACTCCAAATCAACATCAGAAGAGAACTAAATGAAGATATAAACACCAGGGAATCAGATCTAGAACATATAAAAGAATGGTTACGGAAGCAACCTCATTTACCAGACGAATGGGGTAGGTAATCTTTTAATACTATCAAAGTTACCTGAAGGATGAGGTATAAATAAAATGTCTACCTCTTGAAATTGTACTACGTCCTGCAAATTAAATTACTGTACGCCTTTCTTCTCTAGAATATAAGCTCTTCCAGCTTCCATGGCATTTTAAAATATTAATATCCGCCCCAGCATTGTACAACGTTATTGCAGACGTTTTTCTAAACCAATGGCTTGAATATCTATATGGATGTTCCAGATTAAATTTTTTTTTTGATTTTTTGTTGCTCCTTCAACAATATGGATACCAACTCCTTGTTTTAAAAATATACCTTCTCTATAGCACAATAAAAGCGCCATTTCATGGATATTTTTAGGTCGCAAATCAAGATATTTTTTGAAAATGTCCAAATACACCTTATTGCTATCAGGTACTGTAATTACCTATGTATAGTCAGTTTTTCTATTACTGATACTGACTATTAACTGAGACTCCAGTATATTCTAGATTATTGTATTTTTTCTCTTTTACATCCTCCGGAAACTCCTAGCAAATATTATTCTTTGAAAATAACAACAAATTTTTTACAAAGTGACTACTGACTACCTAATGTCAGATAACCTATTTTAAATTCTATATAAATTTGTGGACAATATAAAATAGGGTTATTTGTCCTTGAGTCGTATTTTAATGAGTTACGTTTATGGTTTTTTGTTGCAGATGAGAGCAGAATTATGACTTTTCTACGAGGTTGTAAATTTTCATTGGAAAAATGTAAAAGAAAACTAGATATGTATTTTACAATGAGAACAGCATGTCCGGAATTATTCAGTAACAGAGACATCACGAATCCTGAACTAAAAATGATAGTTGATATTGGGTAAGTTTTATCTGTTTATCTATTCAGTTTGTGTGATTTCAGTCGCAGTTGCCAATGATTGGCAAGGGTATTATAATAAATTGTAGGTATCAACGACAAACAACTACAAAATCAACTTTGTATACAAAAACCGAATTGCAAGCATTCACGGCACAATTGCATGTAAAGTGTTACATTATAAAATATCAATATTGTATTAAACTTAAATTATATGGTACAACTTAATATCTTTTAAAAATTTGACTACCCTAAACTGGTTAGCTAATATTTCTTTTAAAAAGTCTTTTATAGAGTGTCTCCTTTGAATATCTGCATAATGATTGCATTTCATGAGAAAATGTTGTAGAGTGAGAAGATTTTCGTTACAGTGCTGATATCGTGGAAGCTTGGGAGACATTAGATAACCGCGTGTAAATCGTGTAAATACTATTCTTAATCTTCGGATTACCATTCTGTGTTTTCTGTTTGGAGAAGGTATTCTGAATGTGTTTTTAACGAATGATTGGATATTATGTAATTTTGTGTTCCCTCTATTTCAGTGATCAAGCCAAATTGTTTAAACTATTTTGCTCTATGTTTTCTTTGAAGTCGGTGTGTGGAATATTTTCCAGAGGAAGATCATTCGCTGCCTGGCCAGCTTTCTCATTGCCAAAGATACCCTTGTGTGTACACATCCTAAATCCTTTCGAACAATCAGCCTCACATCCTTTGCATTAAAAGCAATGAAGAAAGCTGTTGATATTTATATCAGAACGGAAGTCCTGGAGAAGGTGCCACTCCACCACAGCCAGCACGCGTATCGAGCAGGAAGATCTACAGTAACTGCCCTGGTACAGCTGACTGACGTAATCCAGGATGCACTGACAAACAAAGAAACGGTAATGTGTGCCTTCCTAGACATAGAAGGAACTCTTGACAACACGCCACACGAATCTGTCAAAAGATCACTTGCATATGGAAGAGTAGATAGCATCTCATCCAGATGGATGGGTCAGCTGCTATCTACGAGAACTGCAGAGACACAGATAGGACAGGACGCCATCTGTATCTTCACAACCAGAGGAAGTTCACAATGAGGAGTTCTATCTCCACTAATGTAGAGCCTAACCATAGACGAACTTCTATGCAGATTAACTGACCTCGACATACCCTGTTAAGGTTATGCCGACGACATAGTCATAATTGTTAGAGGCAAGTTTAGAAATATCCTGTATGACATAGTCCAACGAGGACTAGAACATACCAAAAGATGATGCCGTGGTGGGCTATAGTATAAACCCTACAAAAACAAAAACAACACTAGTAGTCTTTTCAAGGAAAGGAAAATTAAATCTCAAAACCGTTAAATTAGACGAGATAGATATAGAATGGAAAAATGAAGTCAAATATCTATAGGCCCAATCCTGGACAACAAACTTCTCTGGAACATACATGAGAAGAAAGTAGTAAAGAAGGCCACAAAAGCTCTAATGGTATGCAGAACATTGCGGGTAAACGATGGGGATGTAACCCGAACACACTGCAAAGGATGTATACTGCAATAGTGAGACCAATCATCACTTACGGGGCTATAGTCTGGAGTAACAGAACTAGTTTAGCTACTACGAGAGCTAATATTTCAAAAGTACAAACACTAGCTTGTGTTTGAATCACCGGTGCAATGAAAACCTGCCCTATGGTCGCAATAGAGGTGATCTTAAACCTCGCCCCTCCACATTTAATGATAGAGAATGCAGCAAAAAGGATACGATATACAGGGTGTCCTTTAAAATGTGTCCCAAAATTCTCAGGCAGATTCCTTAACCAAAAAATGGAAAAAAAGTTCCTATAGACCTATGTCCTAAAGTGCCCCCTAAGCGAGCAACAGCCTCTCGAAATCATTTTTTTTATTTTGATTTTTTGAATTTTCTTAAAAATGGAAACAAATAAAAGAACCAAATTTTGGCTGTTAAATTAAATCAATAATAGTGACCTTTTGACACCTTCAAAAAGAAATTATTTCGTCAGGGGTGTACTTGGGAATTTTTTGAAAATTTTGATTATTCATAACTTTTTTGTGTTTTTGGTAATGACTTATCCATATTTTTTTTTACATTCTACATTGAAAACTACGTCAAAAAGGAATACTTGTTTGATCTCGATTGGAGCAGCCGTTTCCGAGAAAACATCATCCAAAGATATTCGTGCAGTTTAGGTTAATTTTCAATTTTGGCTGTTGTAGCCAAAAAGTTGGAAATCGAGGAACACGGCTTACATGTCCCTATCCTTACTTTTGAAGGTCTATTCAGTGGCAAAAAATATTAGTTGATACAGGGTGATCAAAAATCGGATGTGATTTTGGATTTTTGATCACCCTGTATCAAATAATATGTATTTTATGTCACTGAATAGACCTTAAAAAGTTAGGATAGGGACTGTAAGCCGTTTTCCTCGATTTCCAACTGTTTGGCTACAACAGCCACCTGAATTTGAAAAAATGTGATTTTTGAGTAGCTGTAGATCCTTTACTATTCATATTAGATAACAAGTGTGATATATCATTGAAATCAGATTATCGAGCAGATTCTAAAAATATAAAAATATACAGGGTGTTCCATTTAAAAAACATAACTTTGATTTGGCACGGCCTTATGAAACACCCTGTCACATCGTAACTAATTTTAAAATGTGAAGCTTAAAGCTGCCTACTTTTATTATAACAGATCTACAGAGCTTCCTCACACTAATCAATCACCCTGTATACTATTTTTAGCTCTCTAAATAAAATTTAAAAATTTAGTTCCCATTTATTTATTATGAAGACCATAAGGTTTGTATTTAGCTGTTTAGAATAAAAAAGTAAAAATATGTATTTTTTTGGCGTTTTTGTGTTTCATGGATAATTTTTTTCGCTCACTGATAAAAATGTTTCTTCAGTTAAACATTATTTCTAAAAGTGTTCTGGTGCGATTCGTTGTATTGTTATTATTTTGTTTAAAATGGCTCACAATAACTACAATAATGATTCAGGGGGGATATCGCGCATGGTGTCATGGCGGCTCTGACGTCATGCGTAGAGTTAGTAGTGTTGGCAGGAAATAAATATCATATGACAGACGCATGTTGCAGTAGTTTGGGAGTCGTTTATAGTAATTTATAAGGTATTAAACAGATATTTGTATTATATTATGTTGTAAACTTTGTTCTCTCTAAGTGCTTTTAGTGAAAAACTTTGAAAAATTTCGGTACGGATGTAACAGTAACAATTAAAGCAAGGGATTCAAGAAAAATATTATGGTTTTTCGCTTTCTTCGACAGTAAGAGCTCAGTCAGAAGTGAGGAGTGGCCCAAGGGCGGCTACAGCGGAGGCTTAGAGGAGCATGCCGTTACCTAGATTAAAATTCTTAAAATCCATGAGCCTTTTATATATGCTAAATAGGCAATTCTACCCTCCTTCCCAAGAAAATTCGACATGGAACAGCCCTTGCAGTGGCTCGTAACCCTGCAAATAAATTTTCATATGTATTCCAAGCACTTTCAACCTTCCAATTATAAGAGGAACCTCCAAACAGAACTTCACATTGGTTCAATCGCAACTTGGGACTTCTAAACTGGAGACTCTACCCTTTGAAGGCTAAAAATTTCGCAATATAAACAACAGTGAAATTGTAAATGAGGCAAACAAAAGAAAATTTCGACTTGTACTTGATGAGTGAATTAAAAAAACTGTCAGCGACTTTGTCCAGGAAAATTGCAATGACATTTTATTTTAATTTTGTATATGCACCCACAATATGTTATGTAGCTGTTATTTGTATTTCGTACATTTTTTTATGCTTTGCATTATATTATATGAATGTCTGCATTATATTATATGAAAACACATATTTTTTAAATTTATTTTTATTCAATTGGGTAATTTAATGCAGGTAAATGAGTAATCAGATAAAAATTTCCGGCATATCCAGATGCAAAATTGTTACCAGGATCCCCAGTTTCAAGTTGCGAAGATACTCTTTTCATTATCCTGGTTATAAAAACTAGTCTTTAGAAGTCGAATTTGTATAACCATAATGAATCATTAAAAAAGGAAAAGGAAAAAACTGTTCAAATAAATACTTCTCTTATGTATGTATTTGCATTTATGTTCCTTCATAGTTCTTTCCTTAACTATCCTATAATAATATCCATAGATATTTCATGTAATTTCTAAAATAGTATCCTTAATATTCATTAACTTTCTGTAAGTAGCATATATTTTCCTCACACTTCGTCAGTATTTTTAAATTCGCGCCTATACAAACTCTACGCGTGACGTTATGCGCGTGGCCGTCCTATTTTTGACACTTTTGATATCCTACCTTTTATTTTTTATACCATGATAATGATTACACATTCGGCGAAATGACGGACATGCACTTATGTTTTGGACTCGCTTCTGGAAATGCCAATGAAGCTCGCAGACTTTATCAGGAGCGCTTTCCAAATAGGCATCTTCCATGCGCTAAGACGTTTTCTAGAATTGACGATAGACTTCGGGAAACTGGTACATTTAAGAAAAACTCTAGTAACAGTGGAAGACAAAATTATGTGAGAACTCCTGCTTTGGAAGAAGCAATTTTGGATAGGGTAGCTGAAACTCCATCGACAAGTACCAGAAAAATAGCAAATGGTAAGTAATTACTTATTTATTATTTTAGCTACCCCGTACCTTATCGTATAAAACTAGTTTTTTTACTTGTTATTGCTTCTCTTACATTTCACGACTTTTCGTATCGAAAAGAGTTGCGTTATGCAGAAAAAATCTGATTTCCCAAATCAATGGATTCTCTTTCTTAACTATTCACTACACAGATTCTCTCATTTAATTTCAGAAGTGGGAGTCGGACGTAACACGGTATGGAAAGTTTTGCGTGAACAACAATTGTACCCTTACCACATTCAAAAAGTTCAGGCACTTAAAGCTACTGATTATGAGCCGCGAGTTATCTTTTCTGAATGGTTTCTTGGAAGATGTAATC